TCATTACAGATGTTTTCCCAGGAGTTCAGGAAACTGTATGGAAACAGGACTGTAAACTATATGAATTCTTCTCTTTGGAAAGCAATGTACTAAAAACATTGTGGAAGGCTTTCCTTTAAATAGATCTTTAGAAGTTGTCTTTAAAAAACAAATTCTTTCCTGAGGTTCCAGAACAGTGGGCAAGAACAAGTGGATAGAAGATTGTGATGAGTAATCGATCTTGGGTAATGGAACTCACATAATAAGATCAACAGAAGGAAAATACTCCATGTTAAATCTTCATAGATGATTTTATAGAAATTATTTTTTTAAGAGAGTAAATGTGGTAACAGATGATAGCATGAAAGCAGAGCCATAATTTCATTTGTGTAGCTAAAAATATAAAAATTGCATGAATAAGAAAAGATAAAGACCAGCCTAGCACTTCTAGATAAAACTTCAGCTGCTCGGGTACCTTTACTGGAGCAGAAATGAAGCAAAGATTTCTGTGACAGAGAAATTTTACTATAACATACCACTTCTGCCATCTCTCACATATTTGTCTGAGTTGAAAACAAAACTTCCTCATTCTGATTCTGTCAATCAGAAATTAAACCACTAAGTTGAGTCTTAAAATCATTCAAGATTCTGCAATCGCATTCTCCAAGTCTCCAAGTCCTTGATACTTTCATGTCAAAAGTACAGAAATGCAGTCTGCACCCACACCTTTGCTAACTGCCTCAGGTTTCTGTGTTATATAAGAAATCTTAGCTATTATAACATTCCTCCTGAGATCTCTCTCTGGACGGATGATGTCTAGTGGTATTTCTTTAATCCTCCCCAAACAAACAATTAAATATTTTGCTAATTTCTGTATCAAAGTTTGTGACCTATCAACCAAACTTTCAAGTAATATTAAGAGTAGCAACAAAAAGCTCAACATAGATACTTGTTGTTTGTTCATCACTGGAAAATTTATTAGCACAACTTCTACCCCAAATCATAGGCCAAAAACTCACTGTCAGGGATCCCATGTTCTAAATAACACTGCCATTATCCACACCTCCTTCGTACATTTCTAAAATATGAGATTAGAGAAAGTAAGTATCTGGCAATGTCTGCAGCCTCATGAACTAGTTCTCTCAATCAGGGTTCATTAATCTCTTCAAGAAGGCAAAACGGTAGTACCATTAGTAACAGTATTTCAGTTGTGTGCTTTATCAATGGGAAAAGTAAAGCTAACGTACAGGTAAATACATGAAAAAGCTCGTCTTGCACTTTTTCAGCTCTTCTAATGCCAAAACATTACAATATGAACTGTAGAATCAGATTGTCTGTAGAAATAATCTGAAAAGATATCCCTTCAAAACAAGGGTTTGAGGCAGCCAATCGAAACAGCATCAACTTCAACAAAAAATAATTCAAATACTCTTCTGGCTGCATGGTAATCGTATATCTGAGTGGAAGCAGCCTCTATTCACCATGTTGTTAAACTGATATGCTCAACAGAGAGAAAAACCACCACATTCAGTCTTCAGCATTTATACAAGTCTTACAAGTCCTTTAGCACCAAATGTCCTGAAATACTGCTGCTGCTGGCATGCTACACACGTCCTTCTCACCTGCCAGCTGAGCCACATTTCTTCTGTCACTGTTTAACACAGTATGTGCCTACAGAAGATGAACCAGAGAGATCATTTAGCAGTCACAGGATCATAGGATAATTCAGTTAAGAAGGGACCTCAGGAGGTCTTCGGTACATCCTCATGCTCAATGCAGACTGAGCATGGCCACATTATGCAGAGTTTTACTCAGCCTGATCTTGAAAATCTCCAAGGGCAGAAAATGCACAGATTGTCTGGGCAACTTTTCCAAGGCTTGACTGTCCTGAATAGTGAAGAAGTTTTCCCTTAGACCTAGTTAGAATCTCCCATTTCAATTTAAGTCCATTCTATCTCATCCTTCCTCCACAACACTGAAAAGCCTGACTCAAGTCTTCCTGATACTCTCCTCATAGGTACAGGAAGGCTGCTCTATGGTCCACCGCAACTGAAGACATCTCTTACACAGGCTGCACAAGGCCTTCACCTTCCCTGGAATCCCCCTTATCTCCTGTTCTCCCTCTCCACCTAACCTGACCATCCAGAAAGACTTCATTTTGTTTCAGGGCTAAAGAGAAGAAAGCACTGTTGCATCTTTCTACTACTGCCATGTAAATGTGTAAGCACTGAAAAAGTAACTTTGAAAGAATATGCCCAAAACCCTACCTTGCCAAGTCTCTTGTATCTCAGTCATTGCTTCTTAGGGATAGTATTGAAAACAGCAGTATGCATTCCACACTTGAGCATAAAGAATTATTTTGAGCAGATTTTTTTTTTCTGTTCCCTGTCAACTGACTGACAGTTCACCCTAGTCCTTCTCCACAGCTAAGATTTTCAGGCTTCATTTATGCTGTATGTATTGAGTTCACTGAACTACTTTTCATTTCATGTTCTTAAAATTTCATGATTGCAATTAAGACAAGCATTGCATGTCAAAACACTTTTGAGCTGGTCAAGGGTTCAATACTCGTAATGCTGCCTTTTAACCATTTCTTTTGTAAAGCAACTGAAACCATTCTTATAAAGAAAATAATCCTCATATTGGAAAGGATTTGAAATCCTTCTGTCCTCCATGAATCTGAGCTTTGTTTGGAGGGATAATTAGTCAATTTTTGGACCTTCAAACATTTCTTCTGGATCAGGGCTCAAAATAATTTTGTATCCAAAACATAATGACATACTGTCTAGTACTATTTGAATACAGAAGTCAGGAGAAATAACTAAATACCTGTTTAAACTTTCTGTTCTTTAAAATTAGGAAAAAAGAATACATTGATATATATGACTGCTAAACTACCTTTAAGGGCTCCATCACTTCCAGCTGGAGAGCAGACTGACTGTGGTGACCTCAAGGAAAAAGATGCAGCATTCCTTATTGAAGGATCGCCATCCTAAAGTGACAATGATAAAAGTTAACATTATGAACATGAACACTTGATAAAGAGTGATATCAGTACATGCAATGATAAAATGGATTGTTCTAAAAAAGCATACAAGAAACATTAGAAGAAATACTTATTTACATTAAAATATTTGTAATTTAGACTGCTATTAGAGTACTGTATAAGCAATATTCAAAAGCACAATCAGCCCTAAGAAGATTCTATAACCAGAACATGCACACAAAAATAAAATGGATGTACATATCTTCTAGCTAAGTAAGCACTTTAGGTTTACATGAAGGTTCCATTTAGAACTTTTTTGTTACAAGCACTCATAGTAGTTGAAAGGCAGATACATGATCTCTATACAATACCAACTGAAACTGAGCATAAAATGTAGATATTAAAAAAAAAATCATCACTTTTCACTTAACCTACCCTTAAAGCTTTTCTAGAATGCCATCTTGCTTTTACAGTGAAACAAATTAACACTTTCTTTATATCCTCCAGCATACACACATCAGGACGGAACAAAATTTCTAGCACTCCCATTGCAGCAGATAGTCTTGTGTAAAACACAACTGGAGCGACCTTAGCTTGTTATCTGCCTGTCTCTAAGATAGGTGTTGTGGTTTAACCGCAGCCACTTGCTCACCTCCCCACTCCTCCAATGGAGGAGGAGAATCAGAGGAAAACACAAGGAAACTAATGAGTTAAGAACTATTTAATAATTGAAAGTAATCGAAAGAAAAATTATAACAATAATAGTAACAATACTAATAATATGTAATGAAAATAATGGAAAAAATCCCAAATGATACCACCTCCTGCCATACACTGTCCGACTGAGAGCCAATTAAAACCATCACAGTAGGAAACAATTCAATGGCCATATGAAGCGCTCCCCAACTTGGCAAACAAGTTCCACCGCCTTCTCAAGTTTTTCACAGAACAAACTGCTTCAGTGGAATTCATGCTTTCTGACAAGCTTCTTCATAACATGATACTAACTGCAATGTAATGATGTCCATGGTCTATCTTTAAGAATATATATGTGTCTTTTTACACCCCCACTATCTTAAAATTAAATACGAAACCCACTCTTCAGATTCCTGCAGAACGGTCTAGGTGGGGGTTTCGCCGCTTGCAGGGAGCCCCCTGCTGGTGACCAGCATGCTCGTTCCCTCCCTGCCACAACCAGATCTAAACCTCGACTGCACACTATTCCCCGTTTTTAGCACTCTATTTTACACAACATCTACGGGAATTTTTTGGGAAAGAAAAAATTAACAACCCCTATGCCTAGGAAGAGACAATTTCTGTGATTAAAATCGAACGGCAAAAAGTCCATTCTTTTAAAGGGTAAAGTCATACAAAGGAAGTCTTCAAAGTTGTAAGGTTATTTCATCAGTTTAGTAATTAAGCTGGTCATTTTGGTAGCTAATATTCTAACCTGCCTCCTATTGGGGTAACTGCATACACACAATTCTCTCATATGACTTTTTTTTTAACCAAACCTGAATTATCTGATAAACACCTTTTATCCTTTTGATCAATTTCAACCCAATTAATAGAATGTTAAAAGGCTCAACTGTAATTAGCTTTTTACACGCCTGTATGAAAAAAAGCAGCAGTCGGTAGTAAACTACATTAACAGTAGGACTTCATGATCTTAAAAGTCTTTTCCAACCTAAACAATTCTATGATTCTGTAAGTCAGAAAGCTAAATTAGCATTTCAAGGAAATGGAAGCCTGCATAGATGGACACCCCCTAACACACTCCCTCTAACAATGACCAAACGGCCCATCTCCACATGCACAGCTGCAGATGAGACAGGGTACATGTTGCTCCTTGGAAAGGTGGTGTTGACATTGCTTAGGGAAAAGGAAAGAGGTTGAAATTTATGAACTAAAGGTGCTTACAAGTAAAGGATATAAATCCATAAGAAACCAGATTTCATCAGTTTTACCACCGATGGGAACTTAGAAAACAATACTTTTAGATTTGGGTTTTTTCCTCCCACAGCACAGTGAATTAAAAAAAAAAAAAGAAACTCACCTTGTGCTGTTAACTACACATTTTGCAGCAGTGCTTGCAAAAAGAGTTGTTGCCTCATGTAAGGAAAGACTCGTGTGTGAAGAAATGTAATACTCTTATTCAATGCAATCAAAAGAAGTGTGTCTTAAACTTACATGTTGTTACTGTGATTCAAAGTGGATTAATTTCCTGGTGAGTTACTCGTTCATCAACTACACTGAAATTATGGAGCGGATTTTTTAAAAACCTGACTTATATTTGACTTGTAATGAATCTCAAAAAAACCCCCAAGATATTGAAAGAAAGCTTAGTAACTTTTTATGCACGCATGTTTTATTAGGACAGAAGAGGTCCTCTATCCATAAGTGCCAGGGACATAGGCAAAGGTGACTTTTATTAACTAAACAGACTAACTAGGTAGATGACCTTCTGCGTACACATGCCATTCCCAACGTGGATGACAAATATTCAGAAGTGCTTGTTTATAGTTTCCTAGTTCAGCACTTCATCAAATGGTGACATGTAAGCAAAAAATTATGTTCTAGGAATGCTCCCAAGTTTACCAAAAAATTGTCCTTGAGTCTATTTGTAGTGAGCCTTCAAAAGTGTACTTACTGATTTTGTAGAATCATATATTGCAAATACACAGTATCTTGCTACTATTCATATTTTTTAAAGCAATAAAATCCTAAAACTAATAAGAATAACAAATAATCAAATTTTTTAAGTTTCATGATTAAGTAATCCTCATGCGTAACTATTTTTGCCAAAGATCACACTGCATCTGAAAAGGCTGCAACATTATTATTAAGCTTATTATTCACACATAGATGCAAAACTTACTAATCAATGAGGGTATGAGTTTATGTTTTCATAGTCTGTCTATTTTGAAAGAGTTTCAGTTGTAAGTTCTATAACCACTACGATATGGTTGCATTGCCTGGATCACAAAATTAGGGATTAATATTTTCAAATACTTCCTCTTTAAAAATTACTAAATAAATTAATCTACTAGAGAAGTTTTCCAAAAATCCCGTCTTAACAAAACCAAGATTCTCTTGAGAGTGTACCTTTAACATTATTGGGGGCTATTTGTATATTTAATGCCAAGAACAGTTTCCTTTCTGAAGAATTTGCATTGCTGAAGCAGAAACTGGGAAAAACATCTGATAACTGTGTATTATGATAGATTCCTTCATTACAATATTCTCTTATTTCTTAGCTAGTTGTATGTTTAAAAAAAACCAAAACACAAGACTGATAAAACTAAAATCTCGCTTGGAGTTCTAGTGTATTAATCCTGGCAAGGGATTTAGGGATCCTGGTGTTAATAATACACCTGTTGAATGTAGAACTTTTCTGCTTCCACAGATAGGTTAGGAAGTCAAGAGTTGTGCACAGTTTTTGTAAGCTAAATAAAACACACACAGTCACAAAAAAAATGAGTGCATCCCACCAGGTTTTGATGAAAAAATAAAATTGACATTTTAGTGCTCTCCCTTTAAGAGCAGTTAAGACACTGTGGGCCAAACCTGTAAAGAATAATTCCAAAAATCTTCATCTGCAGAATGAGATGCTTGTTAAGAAAATAAATCAGTAGTTCAAAAAAATGTGGGAGAAAGTTGTCTTTATTCCTTTAGATTCCAGATTTCAGAATTAATTTCTCCCATATGAAATAAAGTCACTACAGTAAAACTTGTTTACAAAGAATCCACACCATAAAAGTACATAATAGACCAGTAAGGAAAACTGTCCATAGGAATTCTAATTTCATCAGAACGAATGTTACAAAATGTTCCAAAGGAAAAGATCTAGAAAAACTTAAATCTCACTCATCAAAGTTGCATCTGAAATTGCCATATATCTTCAGTGGGTTTATACATCAGTAGCAACATTAGAAAATATCTGACTTCTAGGGCTGATAAGCACATACTTGCTTTATCATTGTAAATATCTGCATTATCATAATAAACTGATTTAGGTAACATACATCACTACTTAGTCTGTGCACCATCTGTAGGTAGTCTTCATTTGAGCCATGTCTAGAATTATCAGCATGATGATTAGCTGAATTTCCCGACAACTGACTTGAAACCTTATTTTCGTGGAGATTCCTTATCCCAGCTGTGACAATGGGACTAGATACTGAAGCTGAAATAGAAAAAATATAAGTAACTATACTGATACATTCACATGCTTGTTAACTCATAAAAAGTTTCAGACAAAACACAGAAACATTGGATATTAATGGGCTGGATGCAAGAGGTCTGGAATCTGGAGAAGAATACAACATTTTGAATCCTTTTGCCACAAACAGATACCTAATTTTATTCAAGATAAGATCTTATTTTTAAAGAGTATTTAAAATCTAAATTCCATGTACAGATTAGCCAAGTTTCTCTCCACATCTGTGCTAATCACAGTCAGTATCATATTCCTACTTTGTTTTCCTCTGTGCAATTTGTATTCACTATCTTTAAATAACTTCCAAGGTATTCATGAGACATACAATATTACATACAAAGCAGGTATATATATTCTAAGCACAAACTAAACATTTTCAGAACAAATGATTTAAAAGAATGCAATGAGAATTCTACTTACCAGGAAAAAAAATGCCTACATACTTTAACAGTGTTCATGTTCAAGATCGTTTTTAGAAAAGAGAAGAACAATGAAATCCATTCATTCTGAAGGTCATCTTTGCTAGTTACTGCATACCTTGAGCATCGTTCTAGCCAATGTAGAATTAATCTAGTTGACACTACAAAGGTTTGGTAAGGCTAAATAAGCTGGCAGCAAAATTTACATTACATTGGCAAAAATGAGGTTTTCACCAATACAGATAAATGATGGCCACAGCTAACAAAAATGGTTGGGTTTTTTTGTTTTAATTTTTCTACTGTCATGTACACATGACAACTATGCAAAATGAGTGTACATAGGAGAGCTCTATTTATTTATTTATTTATTTATTTATGTGTGTATGTATGTATGTATGTATGAAGTACATATTAACACTCTCTACAGTCAGGAAAGCAAAGGTTAAACATACCTGCCAATGCACGTGACTCCTTCAAAGAAATTAGAAAGCTGTAAAACCTCCACATGAAGTTAAAGTTGCCAACAGATAGGAGAATAAAACAAACACCATAGACCTACCTTGCTGTATCTGAGGATGTGGTGTGTAGCTTGGAGGATGTGAATATGGCATGTATCCTGCAGGGCTTTGAGGAGCATATGGACTAGGCACTGGACTGTTCTGTTGTGCCAGAAATCTATTACCAGAGCTTGTCTGTGGTGGCACAAACCGGCTAAAAATAAAATTTTAAAAAGTTTTTAGAAGATGGAAAAGCAAATTTAGACAGATCTGTCATTTCTTTTGGAATATTACACATTCTGCACATTCCAACTTTTTTAAGCCACAAAATTCCAATAATCAAGAATCTCCCTCAAAATCGGTATTTTAAGCTATTGATACCTTCCCAACTTCAATTATGACTTAAGAGTCACGGCTTAGGTACCGCATTAGTAGAAGTAGAAAACAGGATACAAAGCATTCTTAAGACCTAGGGCAAGGAAACAATGACACAAACATGTACTAAAATAAGATCTGCAATTTCCAGAAGTTAGTCCTAGAAGTTTTAATAAAAGTGTCAGCTTAGTTTTAATTAACAACTAGGTCACTAGGATTAACAAGGAGCCATCTGTTCTAAATATGATTTCCTAAGATTCTGTATTACAGAATTATACTGCCTAGGCATGGGAATGTGGTAGGCAGCTAGGTAAGACCTGGCCCAAAGTCCACTGAATACAACTTATTCTTCCACTGGCTTGATCTGAGACTGATCCTGGAGACAGGATGTCGTAAAAATAACAAAGGCTTGTGACAATAATACATGCACATTGTAACTTACATTTTTACAGGAGTTGTTCAAAATCAAAATAAACAAAAAAAAACCTTCAGTAAGTACATTATATGCTTTCACAACCCTCAGTTCTAGATGACAACCCTATGAAGGTAAGCTTTCATGGAAAGAACTAGCAAAGTATTTAACACAAGGGTTTTGCAAGGATTTCAAGATGACTTTGTAATATTCATTGTAATATTCACATTTTAAAAAACCCTTCTTCAATATCCCTTTTAGATATAAAAGTAAAATAGTGTACTTTTTTTTGTGAAGATATATAACATTTAACTTGCCAAAACAATTACAGTAACTTAAGTGAATTAAATTTATTTCATAATGGTATCTAGAAGATTAAATCTGATAAAGCCCAGTGACTGGGTTGAAGCTACATGCAGAACTCTTTCCTCTAGTCCAGAGAACTTTACTGTATTACTGAAAACCTGGATTATAGGTATACACTACTGGCCAACACTCAGAATTTTAAAAAAGAACCAAAAAGGTGACGAGGATATGGCTGGAGGACTGGCCAAACTACTGGGCCTCTCCTCCAAGTTGCCTTCCGTATAGCTCTTACAGCACTACTCCAGGCATTTACAAGCCTTCTTTCCCACCCTCCCCTCATGCTGGTACTGTTCTCCGTGTTGGAACAGATTAGCCTCTTCTCTCCTATCCTCCTGTCACTAGTCTCAGCCTCTGCCATAGGCAGAAAACAGCTGGAGAGGTGGCAGGGGAAGTCCTTAAGTAGGAAAGAAAGTTTGTCAAAATTATGGGAGGGAGAGAGAGCAGAGAATCATGACTAATCCTAGAGCATGAGGGTTCATTCACTGACAGAAAAATGTTTCTGTGCCAGCTGAAGAAACCCACCCTGCTGTCAGACAAATGCACAATTGGTCGACACTGATCACCTTCCATTCACAAACTTGCCACAAGAACTGACTGTCACTGTAGGAAGAATGTACAGTTTGCTGACCCGCTCCATTTAAAAGAAAACATTACCTGGAAGGGCTATGTGAAATAGTGGTTTGTTGATAATTGGAAGATGCAGGACTACCACGCATGGAATTCTGAGAAATATTAAACTGTGACATCATCATCCCTATTAAAAAGAAGATAGCAGCATTACTTTAGACACACTTCCTTTTAAATCAATAAAGTTCCTCATTTCAGAAACTATTACATACAAAGAGATAATAAACTTGACAGACATTAACATCATCTACCCACGACTCTTCGAAAACAATAGAAATTATCGATTCTGTGCAAGATGTCCATTTTACATCATGACATTAAAAACTGTTCCCTAAAGCAGTGTTAATTCAGTTATAAATGTTAACTGTAGTTCCTTCCTCTGTTCCTTACAGCTTCCAAGCCAAAACCTACTAGTAAATAGAAACATTTTATAAGATGACTTATATCCCACACCCCAGGCTGGTGCATACAGTACTCAATGTGCCAATAAGTAAGAGATTTGGAAACTTCACAGAAAACCTATCTCCCATTTGTAGAGGAACTACAGCAATCATCTCAGACTGAGTGCTGCATGGAAGTCTCACCACTTCCATAATGCCTTAATGTTTCCTTTCTACCTAGGGAAAAAGCTTTCTATTCCACCTCCACTACGCTTACAAGGAATGTTATCAAAGAAGGTGCCGAAATAATTTCAATTGCAAAGCAGAACCAACCAGCGTATTCCAGCTGTAAGCTCCCAAGCCTGCAGATCGCCACAGTCATGCTCTGGAAATTAGGCTGTACAAGCTGGCAAGCCTCAAGTACCAATGTGCTTGAAACCAACTAATTTAAGAGGCATTTGGACAATGCC